CACAAGGTTGCTGAAAACTGTTTGACAGCCCACGACCGGTTTCGCCCTTCTTGGGGCTCATCAGGTAGGCGCAGTCCCCGAGTTTCCGTCAACCTTATGATCTACTTGAACCAAAATTGCACTGTTTTCGAGAAATACACTCACCTGCAAATCAATTTGGTTTTCAGCTGGAGAACATCATAAACGAGAGATTCAATTGAGTCTCCCGTGAAAACTAAATTGATTTGCAGATGTTCAGTTGGTTTTTTCAACAAATAAATCCGTAGCGAAGGCCTTCTTCCTTTCACTGGTACAAAGCCTGACCTTCCTAGTCAGTGCTACGAAAGCCCATATGTGTTATGAGTCCAACCACTCAGGAAAGCATTGGGGCGTGGCTAATAATCAAGCTGAACATTCCAGGTCCTCAAACGACTGCTTAATGACAAATAAGTTAATTGTGCCACTTGGTCCGGTTAGTGAAGAGATTACAGCACATTCCACAGAAGACAGCAACACCAATTCAAAAGCGGTTTTCAGGTGGGTACTCCAAGCTGAATGCAAATAGATTGTTCTGATGAAGCAAGCAAGCAAGGACTATTACGTAGTGGAATATATATATATATATATATATAAGTCGAAAACTTAGTTAAAAATCATTCCAAAAATACCAAAAGGGTATGACTCAACGACGATCTTGGCGAAACTTTGTCGAAAATTATACTACTTACAAAACTACTAGCCATACACGTGAAAAATACTTGGAAGCGATTGAGTAGTCATCGTTTTCGAAAAAGTTTGGTGACATGTAGTTCGAAAACGACTGAAACAGGACCATTCGTAGTCCAATAGGAAGACAGATTTCGAATACTCACTAACCATGCAACACCTGGGAAGCATCACATGGAAGCCAAAACCGGAGCAACAATATGACACGGAAGTGTACGGAAACCGAGGATCGCATCTTACCCTCACTGGCCTCAAGCGACGGTAGAAAAAAGTAAGGATTTTGGGACTGGTAAAGTTTTGTGATCCAGACTTACTGATCTATAATTTCCCCATCCTCCGACTCCCCACCCGTAATATAAATCCAACTCAGTGATGACGCCAGTGCATGGTAAACACGACAGGGTTCTCCCGGGTTAACGTGAGGTTTGGACTGCAGCAAAGCGGTGTCGAAGCTGTAGAACGGTGGCGTCCGGTATTCATCAACAGAAAGAGCAACCTGCAAAATAACGAAAATTAATAAAAACCAGTCCAAGACAACTTGTGCGTGCGACTGAAAAGTACGTGAAATGACAAAACGTACCTGTACACCTAAATCCTCCAAGCCTCCTATAGCATAGATCCTGAAAGCAGTACCAATTCGAGCTGAAGTTGTTTGAAGTCCG